TTTTTTTTTTTTTACCGTGAGCACTGTTTATAATTCACTTTTAACAAGGAATATCACCTAAAAATCAAAAGCAAATCATGTAGCCCTAGCGACTATCATGGAGATTTTCTCCAAATATATTCACAGTAACCATTTAAATAAAATATTAGAATATAATAATATAATGTTAATCAAAGCACATATGAACTTACTGGTAATAATTAATGCAACATGTCTCTAAAGAAAAAAATAATAAATCACGGCACAGTAAACCGAATTTCTGAAAAGTAGATAATTGTATGATCAGCAGATGTAAATTATTTCAGAGTTCAACATTTTATTTTTTCTTAGTTTTCTTTCCCCCACGTCATGCAGCTGCTCATTACTGGAGCAGTTTTTTTGTTGGCTACTCTACATGTTCATATCGATAACCTAATTTATTGATAAATAATATAATAATAAAAGTAATTAATCAATTCTGCATTCATTTTAATTTAGATTTTCCACTTCATCAGCTTCTTGTGATAGATCCTTCCTCTGTTGCTTGGCCTTTCTTTTGAAAAAGCTAGACTATAAAGAAAATGAAAATAAAACATTATAAATTAAATTAACACTATTAGAGAATCATGAAAAGGCTGGCATATTTCACCTTATAGAGGGCAGCTGTGATGAGTGAGATGATCAGCAGTCCTCCAATAACGCCTCCAGTGACCTCCTTTAGGATGCTGGGTTCCTAAAAGACCTCCACCTGAGTGCTTACCTTCACAGGCACCAACACAATAAAGATTTCATACTATTAGAAGCAAAATCTCACAAATTCTGATGCATAGATAGTATAATGTTAAAGTAATGTCACTAAAAGCTGGAGAATTATGATATTAGCTTAAGTGAATTATACACATTACCTCGCAAACTGGCACAGAGCTGAGGGAATCGGAGAAGTAGATATATTTGTCCTCATCATAATCCAGAGATGCTATACTGACCAACTGAAAAGATGCAGACCTCATCTCAATCTATGAAAATAAATGTGTATATTAGAATGGCAGAAATCTCTCATCTAATAAAGATTTCAGGCTCTGTAACTTCAGATACTGTTGTGTAATTTTATTGAAGTATTATGTGAAAATGAAAGTAATCAATATATAAGTTAATATGCTGAATTATGTTAACCCTGGATGTCATAGAACGAATAATAGTCTTTTCATTAGACAGTGAACCTTTCATTACAAAGTACACCTGTGAACTTGAAATAATGTAACAACACGTATAATGGTTTTTTCTTCCATTAGACAATGGACCTTTCAGTAGACAGCAGACGTAAACATGAAATAATATAATATTATCAGGAACAGGTGGATGGATGTGACGCACACATCTCGTATGACCACATTACCAACCAATGGAAGGTGGCAAAACAAAAGCAAGTAGATAAATTTGACACACATCTAGTATGACCACACTACCAACCAATTAGAAAACAAGGCCAAAAGAGTTTGAAACAATTGTGGCAAATCAGGTATCTATAACCAATAAAAAGTAACCGGAACAAAGAAAAAACAGAAAATGACCAAATTTGGAGAGAACAAGGGGTATAATAATATGAGCTGACAAACAAAGACTTTGGAATGATTTGGAATGCTGTGACTGTCTTCCCGGCTTTATTTCTTTGTTAAATAAAGTCTTATTTTGACATCTGGAACTCTGCTCCTCCACTTCATTGGCCGCACCCAAGAAAAATCCACAACAGATTGGCGTCACGAACAGGATTGGCTTGGAGTCCAACGTCTGTGAGGACCATCGTGGGTGGGGTACCTGGAGGACCATACAAACAGATCTCTAAAAGGGGCCCCGAAAAAAGAAAAAACGAGGTAGGCAATATTTTGCTTAAATTGGAAATAAGAC